TCTATAACAGGAGCATCCACCCAGGTGTTTAGATAGGACAGGGCTCAAACCAGTAAAATATAAGTTGTAGTGTATTACTTAACACGATATTTGTCTTTTAACTTCATTCATAGAAGGTGTCCTAATGAACATTTCAGAAGGCTGTGTTTGTGTTCGTCTGAACACTCCTGGGCATTATGTTGCTTTTTAACACAGTCTGTTAAGTCACAGTTTGGATCCTCTAAGTACTCACGCGCTCTCCTGGGTATTAGCAGCTATCAAGAGGATGATTGATTCTGTGCTGACAGGGTGATGACATTCCCGTCTCATCCTCTCTCAAATCACCCTTAAGTTCCACACATTTTCATAGCCTCTGTGCTACTGCATGTGTTTCTCCAACCTTCTGCAGGCAGGCAAACAGCAACATCACTGCTGTGTGGTGAGTATGGGGGGCAAGAGTAAAAGGTGTTAGTGTTTGTGTGTGTATCTTAGACTGGTGCTGTGCTTAAATGAGAGGGGGGCACCGTGACTTAATCTGACAGTGCTGTGTGCGATCTGTGTGGTATGTCAGCCTCAGGGAGAAAGGGAGTAGGAAAAGAGAGGGAGAGAAAGTAATAGAAAAAGATGGAGAGATTGAGAGAAAGAGAGAGAGAGTAAGATGAAGAGAGAGGAGGGGATTGAATGGATAAAGAGGCCCTGCTTGCAAGAAAGGCTCACGTAGAGACGGAGACAGACAAGGTCACACAGAGCAGGGTGGCCCTGACAGGGAAGGGAATGAGAGTGCGATGGATATGACACTGTATTCTCTTATTCAATGATGTTCTCATTTACATTTATCTTTATGTAAAATGTTTTAAACTTTAAATTACTTAAAACTCATTGAGTATGTTAACGTTCACATTTATTTTCCAGTCTGGCCTTTATCCCTTTGGTAGCTATTGTGCCCTCTTCAGATCACAAACCCAACTGTAGTCTCCAGACATCCCTCCCCTCCTCCCCGTCCACCTCCTCCTTCTCTTATTGGCTAAACTACACTGGGTGACTGTTTCTTCCTTGTCAGTCTGGCTCGAGCAACAAATCATGAGCAGCGTTTGAAGAAATAAGGAAGTGAAAGAGAAGGGGGTTAGGAGAAGGGATCCCCGACAGAAAACCGACAAAGCCACCCGGGTGATAATTTGAGTGGACACCTGCAGCATATTCAAACGGCAGTCTTATTGTTAAGACGCATATAAGCAGATCATGTATTACAATACAAGTGTAAAATGAAAGTGGACCGCGCTCAAGCTCCTATTCTGCTCAGTCACACATGCACCTTGAAAATTTCATGCAACCAAACTATACTCCTTACTCGCTGCATGCACCCGTGACTGCTATCAGCCATGCTTTGTACCTGTCAAGTGCTGTCCTTTCCCTGTGCCCAAAGCCGAGGCTGACTACATGAGAGCTCTCACATCAAAGCGTGTGTGAGCTGCATACACACACAGATAATACAGCATCTCAGTCCGTCCACCTCTCTCCCTTCTACCGCACATTAGACACATTTCATTTAATTAAACGACACAAGGGGAGAAAAATTAGAGGCGCTGCCTTCTTAGAGCTACATCTTATTTACTCACTGTGTCCCCTTTCACTTTTTTAACATCAGAATGAAGCAATAAAGACAAAATAATTATCTTGTCTCTCCAGGTTGTCAGAGACAAATGGTCTCTAATATGACAATAAAGAGGGCCCATCAGTGACGTATTGGTTGTGTCTATACAGCACAGGTCTGGATTATTAATCCTAAGCAGCCATGCATTTTATATATATTGATATTTAATATTACGATTTAAAAATGTCACCTATATTTCCAAGGACTTCGGCGACTTGGATGAGAGAGGAGGATTTCTATCGAAGTGATGAAACAAGTCCTGGTCTCCGTAGCAGCAGCGGCCTTTGTTGTGCTATCTGGTGTAGGACAGGCCGACAAAGGAACACTAAAGAGAGTCCAAAGCAGGGTGACGGGGGTCAGCGTGCCCCCTGTACAGGGGTCGGGGCAACCCTCTTGACCGCTGGCCCTAGGGCAGAGACTCTGTGTTGTGGTGGCACAGGGGCACCCGCAGGGCATGGGAAGAGACTTAACTTGCATACTGCAGCAGAAACACAAGACCGTTCCAACAGCGTGTGTAGCAGCATATGTGTCTGCTTTTTATGAGACCCGGGGTGTGTATGTGTTTGTGTGTGTGTGCAGGTCAAAAGCAAAGTGACCAAGTGTTAGCAGTTTGTGTGAGAAAGATTTAGCAGTATAAAAGGGCAGGCTGACCCAAGGTTTGCCATGTGCATTTGTATGAGATTCACAACTTTGACAGCACATCACAAAACAAAGATCAGATTTAGCAGGTGTATCCAGTCTGTGTGTGTCCCCGAGTTTGTGTGAGAACGACAGATTTAACAGTTATTTTGAAACACAAAGACCAAACGACTTAAGTTTAGAGATTCAGCTGTCCCTTAACAACAGAAGAAGTGAGGTTTTACCCATGAGCTCTGTGGGAGACGGGGGATTGGAGGGATTTAGAGAAAGCCTTAATGTTACCATTTTTTTTTTAATATATTCTATACAATCATGTAGGATTTCACAACCAGTCAGAACTCTAACTGTTTGGGCATAAGAGAATAAATGAGCAGCATTTAAGAAAAAAGTAAATTAGTCTTTAATTTTGAGAAGATTTTGCTACTGTTCCTTTACCCAGCCCTCCATCACCAGACCTATTTGTGTTTGATGGAGTGAAGAATAAGAGGAGGAAGTGACTGATCTGTGTCTCGACACCGACACAGACCTCTCAGTGTTCAAGTAAATGATTGCTTCCGACGTAGAGATGCTGTCAGCCGCCCTGTTCCTCTAAATACGCCAATGTCCTTCTGGGTGACTGGACAGCTGAAAGGGTGAACACTGTTAGCTCCGCAAAGGCTTCAGGCCACTCACGGTTAGCATAAGGACACTAGAGGCCAAGAACCTGGCCCTTGAGGTTAGCATGAGGATGTTTTTAAAGCCAGGATGATTGATTGACTGCTTGGGGTGAAGCTGATTGTTGCAGACTATGCTGCTAAACCTAAACAGTGTTAAGTTTTGGCCTTGTCAACCAGGATATGAGCAAATGTCCTCGAGTGTTTGAATGAGTGAATGCAGCCTAATATTATTTGTTTTAATTAGAAAGTTATTTTAGATTAAAGCATTAATTATGTTTGTATGTTTATTATGTTTTTTTTGTTTTGTTTTGCTTTTTTGTCATAGGTTTCACTATGTTGGTTATTTTCTCAGGCTGCCACCAGTGGGCAGTGGCACAAAGCTGGTGTAAATGTTAACAGACTGCATCTCCCTGTGGCTTCTGCCTTTTCAATCAGACTGCTTTACTTTAATACAATCTATATAATATCTGCTCATTTTACCCACTCTGTCTTTCTTGGTCTGTTTTTTTCCTCTTCTCCGTTTTCATCTGCCAATCCATCTATGTGAACGTGCAGTTAAAGAGCTAAATTGCCCTGTGTCTCTGCGGTGACATTTCTCTGATCCTCATCAGTCGTTTCCAACTTTTTTTACTGCAATCTTTATTTTTATTTTTTTGAGCAATTTCTAGGTTTGATTTAATTAGTTTTATGCTAATTCTACACAAATGCATTTTACAGCGTATAAATAATTAATACATTCATATAGCATTTTTCACATTTATTATTTTAAGCTTTTTTTACCATTTTTATATTGTACATGCTAAAGATTTTTTTTTTTATATTATATTTTGACAGTTAACATATTATAGGTGTTACAAATGCTTTGTTTTAATAGGATGAGTGTGAGAGTCCCTTTTTGCTGGTGTCAAAGGAAAGGGGGTGTGTGGCAGGTTTGATGTCAGTGGGCACAAGAGAGATACATGCAAACACACACTGCGTTAATGGAGACAAGCACATTGTTTTAGCACTTATTAAGAACGAGGAGACATACTCAAGTGATGGTGATATTTGCAGTAGGAAACCTGAGATTATACTTCCTCTATTAACTCCCTTTCACATCTCCTAAAAGTCTTTTTGTCAGTGCTGATACATTTCCCGTTCCCCAAGTGTGGGGCAATTGTGTTATATGTGAGTGTGTGTGTGTGCGTTTGCACAGCTCAGTAGCCATGAGTTTGTGGTTGAAAAAAAATGACAAGTTGGGTGAAACAGGATTCCCTCCATTTCCTGCTTCAGTTTCAGAGTGCTTGGGACAATAAACACAGTTAATTAAAAATGGCTTCAGAGTTGAAGAAGTCATTTAAGGCTATGTGAAAACTTCCACCGTATATTTCCCCGTCACTCTTTCTCAGAACTTATTTAATGTTCAAATTTGCCTCTTTTTACCTCTGACATTTTGGCTTGTAATGCCAATCTTAATCGCAAATATTTTCATGCCGTACATGCCGAGAAAAATACCATTATATAATTTTGAATTTTTCAGGTGTGTGTAAGTCACATAAATGCAACATATACACAACTGCAGAGAACTCTTTTGCTAAGTGATGGTAAAATCGATTGGGTTTGATATTAAGTGACAATTGGCCTTTGGAAGTCACTAAATGCTGCTCACCAGTGAATTCCAATCTTTGGTTACTTCTCAGACCCAGCTCTGCAGGAACACACTTGTCCTCTGTGTCTGGTGTCCTCATTATATGTATAAGACTGCTGGAGTCACATGATTTATTTGTAGGATTTTTTAAACTGTTTTATATCAACATTATTGAAAAAAAGTATTTTACAAAAAGTTAAAAAGAAAAAGAACAAAAGAAAAACCTTGCATACTGCTATTAAAAAATTCTGTCAGGAAAATAAAGTCATTCTTCAACGGTAGATACTAATTAAGTCCTTTTTTGAATTTTTGATAACTAGTTTTAAAGGGTTTAGACACAAAACGTCACTCAAAACTAATTAACTTGATTCTAAAAATGGGAACTTAAAATTGAATATGAGCTCAAGACTGTCTTTTAAACCTGTGGGTTATTTTTTTTCTCTGTCAGGAAGGCTATGGTGTGATGGTGCTCAACCCCAATGAAAACTACCTGGAGGTGGAGAAACCGGCTCTCTCCAGTACCCTGCCCTCTCCTACTGAACTCTCTGATGAACCTGCCGAGAAGAGAGAACGAAAGGAAGACAAAGAGAGCAAAAAGAAGAAGGAATTTTACGGAAAGTACCGCAACCCACAAAAGGAAACTGAGACTGAACGGATACCAATACGGGTAAGGGAATACGAAGATGGTGCCGCACAGAGATGCAGAGAAAAGGGACATAATTTGAAAATGCTGAGTTGTGGGAACAAAAGGATGCATTCTTCAAAAACAGGCCTTATGGGGTGGGCGGACAGGGTGACAGTTTAGGGTCACAGGAGGTAGGAGTAGAGACTAAGGTGAGAAAATAGGAGGGAGAGGAATCGGGTAAGTTTGAAGGAGACAAAAGAGGCAAGAAGGTGCAGAGGGAGGAGCAAGGAGGAAGGTGGCTGAGTAAGCGAGCAGATGAAATGTTAGGCAACAAGGAAGGATGGGAGGTAGAGGGAGGAAAGAGAGGCTCTTGTGTGGTCAGCCTGTATGTGAAGAGGTTGGCTGAGCTCCAGTCGCCTCTTAGTGAGCAAGTGTTAACCACATGGCTACCCCCCCCCGCCCCCCCTTACTCTCTCTGTATCTATCTATTTCTCTCACTCTCCCCCTGTCCTCACCCTTTTCCTTCCCTCTGTTCTCTCCTCTTTTTTTTTCTCTTCCAATGGTGGGCCAGTCATTGCAGCTCTGGCCCTTTGCTCCTGTTTACCGCTGGGATTATTATCTCAGTAACACACACTGTGCAAACACACTGCAAAAATTCTTATCATGCAGCACTGACTGGACACCCACTAAACACACACACGCACAAATTGTAGCCACTGAACGAAACTCGGGAAGTGACCCTTTTGACGGATCCAGTTTCTATTGTTAAAATAAATGAAGTGAAATTGTTTGAAATGAAAACAATTAAAGCCCTTGGATTAGAATACCTAATTTCTCTATTTAAGTATTTTCCACACTATACGGCGCACTTAAAAAACTCAAAAATCGACAGTGCGCCTTATAACTAGGTGCGCCTTACGTATTACTTCTGGTTGTTCTTACTGACCTCGAACTGATTTTGTAAAGCCAAACCACACAGCGCATCAAACATGATGTCACACAACTGAAGCACACTGGGAGCCAACAATGACGTTTAACTCTGTTTTCACAATTAGAAGATGCTCAACAACAATTGTTACAGTATGGTTGTGTAACCCAAATACGTGCAACGTCGCGTCGAGCCTCCAAACACCCGGAGATTTGAGAGCGTTGTGTTCTTGTATTGTCGATGTATGGTGCGGGACGAGGCTTTTTCGATTTTTTTCGTGATCAAGAACTCATTTTATTTCTCCTTTTTATCGATACAGTAAAAACACACACTCTCTCTGAAAAACAACATCCGCACTTCCACATGGAACAGCGTCAAAACAACAACACGGTGACCAACCAGAACAAAAATAGTGACAACCGCCTGACTCTGGAGGAGCGACCAACAACAACAGCGTCCTCCAGTGTCCAACTTAGTTCACTACCCTTTTCCACAATTCTCCGTCCCTATTGATCGGTGACCCTATGCGCGCCCATCTCACCGATATTGCCAAAACTCAAGTGAAGCAAATTACTTCTGGGCATGCCATCATTTCGGGTGGATTGACCAAAGAATTCCAACCGCTAAATATTGGGTTTAACGGTCGTTTAAATCTGCGTTGGAGCACTGGAAGACAAAAGGCGAACACACATTCACCAAGACAGGGAGGCAACGCCGGGCGAGTTACGCCACTATCAGCCAATGGATCGTGGATGCCTGGGCTAAGGTATCGGTCTGAAATGTCGTCCGAGCTTTCACGAAGGCCGGAATAATCAGGGAACAACCAATTAACAGCAACTAGACTGGCTCGGCTAATGACGAGAGGGATCCGGGCATGCTTGATTGTTTCGCTTCATTGTTTCGCTGACTGTTTTGTTTTCGCTTAATGCGCCTTATTATCCGGTGTGCCTTATCTATGAAAATAGACCCGTTCATTGATATTACACCTTATAATCTAGTGCGCCTTATGGTCCGAAAAACACGGTAATCTATTTTAATGACCACAGGGTGGTATGCAGAATGCTGGTGCCAGCAACTCAAACAGTGGTTTGTACAGATAAATAAATAAATAAATATTACCAGGCGCTCAATAGTATTTCAATTGGGAGAGGGGGAGTGAAAAAACGTCTGTCGCCTAGGGGGCGGCATGGCTGAAAATAATTGAGAAACACTACCCATCACCTTACTGAGCAGGCGACACTAAACTTCTTTAACCACCAGGTCACCATTGCACTGCTACAATATATTGGTATTGGTTTATATCGGAATCGGAATTTAAGCATTTGGACTTTACTTCTATTTTGGACTTCCTTAATATCGGAAATCCCTATAATATAATTCAGCCGATATTTTCTGAGATCCTTAATTTCTACTTTTAGCTGGTTGATGAAATCATGAACACATTACCTCTAATGTGCTTCTTACTATTTGCACCATAGTTTTTATATATTAAATGGCTCTTTGAATACTTCATCTTGCCTGGATATTATTAATTGTTTCAAAATACAAACTGCATCGGCACTGCATGTGAAAAGCAAACAATAAATAGCATATAGTATTAGCCATGATGATTTTTTCGCAATGAAGAGCAATAAATAAACAATTTGATATTGTACAGGAAAAAAGTGCATTTCATAAACTGATAGTGCCTTTAAGACTGTCTAAAAAATATGATGTGCATGAGATGATTTGCCTCAAGCAATATTAAAAGCATGCTTTTAGTCAACATAGCCTCAATCTTTACTTTACATCCAGGGATAGTTGGAAGACAGACTCAAAGATTCATTGACCATAAGGCGCACCGGTTTATGAGGCGCATATATATATAGTTTATTTAATTTACACCTTTGTCATAGTTTTAGAGCAGAGTGACCTTATCTGTCAGAGCTCAAGTTCATTAACCCGTCACTCTCTCTCTCTCTCTTGCACTTCCTGCCTGTGCTTTACTACTGTTAACCCTCTGTACACATCTGACACAGAGGTCTTGAATGAAATTGCATTGTAAATAAAACTTTTCATCAAAAAAGTTGGTACATATCATAAAATGCAAAACAATGGTGCCGGCTTTTACATTTAATATTTATGAAACAAACAGAAAGACAACAAAATGATTTGTATTTGTATTTGTACAATAGTGTGACCCTCAGCTATCCATTGCATAACTGCATTAATTTTATCTTCTAACAGTGAATGTTAAGACAACAGATATAAATAATCCCCACTCTATTTCATCCAGAAAAATTCAGAACAACGTAGGGCCATTCAACATTACATATTTGAGAAATTCAGTAATGTCTTAGTGGACCAACACCCAACCCTTGGACTTACATAAAGAATAGTATAAGTACAAAATGTAAACATAAAGCAGTAGTGAAGCGAGTACTGCTTCTGCTGTGTCACATGTCATGTTACACTGAAGTCTTTCCAACACAGTTAAATGTCATTCACTTTGTACTTTCTCTTTGTGGTGCAGGTTTTAAAGAGAAACAGATTTTCATACATTTTATTTTTATTTTTTTCCCATAGCAGGGGATTATTCAAAATGATCCTCATTAACTGAAGGAAATAGGGGTCATTTAGTAGGTTTAGAATTTTCAATAAAGTCCTTAGTTGCAGGGATTGTGAGACACAGGATTAAGATAAACAAATAAGAAAGCTGTCTCTGTATTGAAGCCCCTTGAATGTTGCCCTTTGACCTGGGAGTGGAGCAGGATTTGGATGTGAATGACCTCCCCTCTGTCCTCCACTACAGCTACTGCTCTGTGTCCAACCACTGTTGAGTCTCTTTGTGATCCACAGTAAGATGACATACACACACTCACATACAGTACATGTGCACAGATTTGGATTATGTAGATTAGCTTCACATATTTAGAAAAAAACTGTAAATCACCTTTTACCTATCTTGAACATAATTCAAGATAAGAGAAGGGGGTTAGTTAAGTTTTAATTATTTCAACTTTTTTTTAATATAATCATTAAATTAAAGAAAAAGAGTTAGTCAGACATTTAGTATGTTTCTTTATCTCAGGTTACCTGGTAGGATGTTTATTTATTAAGGTTCAGGTATAATAGAGGCGAGTAGTGAATCACTGCTATGTCCTTGAAATGACAAAACCATTTTCTTTAAAATTGAGTAGTTGTTTTTAGCAAGTGACAAAATTTTGGGCCTGTCACCATCTATAGATGTGAGGAGATTCAAGAAAATAAAATCTCTGCCAGGCATTACAGTTAAACCCCTGCTTAATGTCAATGACATCTCTGTCTCCAAATGGAAATGTCTGGTCCAACATGAAAAGGAACATCAGACAACAGTAACCATGCCATTTTAGGACACTAAAATCTTTAGTACAAGAACACTCAAACATTTTTCATCATCACATCATAAGACACGTCTTTAAACTCAGTAAAACACTGGCATTTTTATCTATGAGATTCAAGTTTTGACTCACATACCGTCACATACCCATTCACATGCGTCGGTCCCCCCTGATTTAGTTGAGTTGATTAATACGCTTCCTTACACACATTAATAAGCCCTTAAATACTTTTAGGATTTCTACTTTTTAGCCCCGGGTTCATAGTGTGCAACCTCTCAACCTTATCTAATCCCTCTCCTCTGCTTTAGATTGCACGACACTAGGGCAGGGAAATGAAAGAGAGAATAAAAGCAGGGTTGGAAGGATAGAAGGTGTAATCGAAGGGTTGCTGATGAGGATAGTGGAAGGTTTTAGGGTGGGAGGTGAGGGGAGAGGGGGTGCTTTCTTAATGCTTTGCCATATAGAAGTTTTGGGAGTTCACTTTACTCTGAATTCTAGCAGTAATCCAGTTAGCTATTTTTTGTCAGCCAAGCGGAGAAATGGCAGTAACAAAAGGCACATTCATGAGCTTAAGAATCTTCCAAAGAGTTCACCCAAGGCTGGCTGGCTGGGATTAGGCCAACAGTGCCCAGGAAAGAAGAAGACCAAGTGGGGGAAAAAGAGCAAGGGGCATAAAAACAGAGCTTCATCATATTTTTAAAGAACCAATTATTTTTCAAATGACAAAGTACTTTTTTCTTTATGTTTCATGCCTT